AGCTTCGGAATTAATTTCGCTGGAACAGATAGAGATGTAATGGATGACCGCTTGGATCCTCGCCGGAAGGATTTCACGAGCGAATGCCGCGCGCGAATGGCGCCGACGTTGATTCTCGCGCGGATCGATCTATTACGCGCAACGGTATACGCATCGGCGATCGAATATATTTATATGCGTGAATGGGCAAAATATAGCATCGAGTAGTTCCCTTAATCGGTCGATGCATGTCCGGGAACCGACGGAGATTCATTAGCGACCCGCCTACAAATTAGACCCGACCGCGATCTCACGATCTAAAATGGTAACGATGGGAATTAACAGTTTATCTTCTGGCGAGATAGCTCCTTCGCCAGTTTCGCTCGCATCGTGTACGTGCAAACTGGCACATGTACACACGTGTATACATTCGCATTGTTTCCGGCGACAATGTGCAAGCTGCACAAGGGTACGCAGCTCGTACTCGAGCACAGACTGCTCCATATAGAGGCCAATTAAACTTCAGCTCGAATGCTCGGCTGTCTCAGAATGTCAAGTCGCCTGCCTACTGACTGACACAGTTACGTCAAAAGAAAAATATTGCCTCTTTTCATATGAGATAATTAGTAATTCATAAATATCGCTAGGAGAAACAATCCTACAACACTTTTATCTATCAGAGATTATTCATTTTATGTTTAATCGTTTAATTGTAATAAATTAGAATTAAAAGGATTTAATATTCGATGCGTCTTCCGGATATGCGTTGGCACGCATACAATTCTTCGCATCCTTGTGTCAACATAAGGTCTATCTTTCTCTCGAGACACTATCGAAAAATGTTACAAACAAAGAGAACAGCAATTACGGAAATGCGCATACCTGTTACACGGTGAACTTGGACGGAAAAGATCAACAGAACCACCGTGATCAGCCAGGAATGCAGCGGCGGCGACGAGGGAAAGGTAGACGTTCTCCTTCGCAGCGACATTTTTGGCTTCCTCTGCTTCCGGTGCGCGCGTCAGTCACGTGGTACCCTCGTACATCCCTGAAATTATTCGCGGTGAGTCGACGACTGGCGAGCCTGCCTGCCTGCCTGCCTGCCTGCCTGCCTGCCGGCAGGCACAGAACCGTGACGATGCAGGTTGCACTAATTGTAAAATGCATCCTACGTAGGTAGCCACGCGCATCTTATGTAAAAGGCGCGCTGCTCCGCGATCAAGGGGAGAAACAATCCGATACGCACAGGGAAAGGTTTATTTACCTCTATCCCTCCCCGGGATTGACTTTACGCTTACGAGAGTGCGGAAAGCAATGCGTCGGTGGTGCAATCGAAATCCACACGTGAGATTCAATCCCGCCGATGCACCGCCGAGTTTCGAAATTGCATTGCACACCGTTTCATTAGATTGGAGGAAATTCATTATATTCGGTTATGATTCTCTCATGATTATACGATCCTAGGAGGATTTTCTCCTGTGCATATAGGAAAGATACGTAGAAATAGAAAATCTTTTAAAACGCGGTAAAACGCAATCCTATACTCTACATTTCTTTCACTTTTACCACTTTTGCATTTTGATGGTTCTTCAATCAGTTTAATATGTACTTTCTTCTACAATAAACGAGATTTGATACGATCAAGTCGGGATAAATTTTCTCCAAACAAAATAATACAAATAATTCAATACAGATAATTTATCGATATCGTTCCTCTCATCATAGATTATATTTTTGGACATTTAAACTTGCTAATAGCTTAATAATAATATTTTAGATAACTTTACGCATTTAAAATTATTTTATTTGTGTTTAAACAGTTTGGGAGTTTTTTGGACGTTACTATGACTATAATTATCAAATAATTAATAATCACAATTTTATAATATGAATTTTATGATAATTATAGATTAATTCCTTAAGATTTGAAACGTAGCTTTATCCAATCCTATGAAGCAACAAAAATAACCTTTCCGATATAATATATAATAATATATCAATTTCATAGTACTCAATCTGACACTATCAATTGGCATAAAAAGTTCGCATGTACAGACATAAAATGCGAAAAACAGCGACAAATCGTTGTCAAGATTTATAGCAAGGTTCTTACAAACTGCGATTTCACTTTCAACGAAACAAGAGACCGTAACTCGAACAAATTGGCATTACGCGATTCGTGCTTGTCAATCAGTTTAGTGGTAGTTTTCTGAAGAATATTCTCCGATAGATCGCTCCACCCGTATCTTTGAAGAGACAAAAAGAGGTAGTCATATTAAATTGAGATCGTTCTTGAAATATTTATGTAGAGGCTGGAGAAATTTCCGATTTCGATTTTAAACATTTCTCTTCGCGCTTACGTCACATTTATTCCACCCGTCTTTGTCAGGGTAAAAGGTGAAACTTTCGCTCCGTACACGTTTCAAGAGAATATTTTCTCATTTGTCTTGACCAGATGCAGCTTATCTTTTTCTTCAAAAAATTTGTGCTATTATCTGAACTATATACTATCTGTAATACTGTTGTACTGATAATTTAAACTCTATTATTATCTGTTTCGTTCCTCTACTTCACAGTGATCACAAAAGATACAAAATAAAAATTGTATATACAGTGCTTTTATTTTTGTTTAGTTCAATAATGAACGCATTTATATAAATTAAAAAAGCTTAAATTGAACGTTTTTTATTAAAATTTGCTTAATTAACAGACTAAATAAATAAAATAACTGTCAAGAACAAAATATCGATCGTACAAAGTTACTATAAAATTACTATAAATCTCCAAAATAGATAGTTCCTCATAAATAAAATTCACGTTTAGTCAATCTTTCCATTAATCAGATAAAATATAGTATAGCACAGTCTTTTTACGTATTTCTTTCATCCTCCGAGAGAATGTGTTTCTTTAAGAGATAAATATACGTTTCTTACGTCGATACAAAAAGCTAAAATAAGCAGGTGAGAGTGCGACGGGATATCCAGGACACATCATTCGTTATTCTTTTTACAAGGAAAGTACGACTCCGTGCGACGTCTTTTAGGAAGATTCAATGGGCAGAACTTTCGCCCATTGCGCGATTACCAACAAATTTCGCGTTTCACGAATGAATTATATCTGCCACAAATTGAAAATAATTCCGCTGCAGGACGGTCTCCTGAAGCTTTGAAAGAAAATGTCGAACGTCGATAGATAATAACGGCCCGTTTACGAGTGACCCACTACTTGGAGAAAGAGAAGTAGCGCTTATCGAATAATAAAATTCGCCGCGCCGAATAATAAAAATCAGTCTGTTTGAGGCATGGATGGCTCGTACTGCAGGAGGCTGCAGTTGCGCTGCGCAAGTGTCTGAATGCGAATGACGGTTCAAGTGCACTCCCAGCTGCCGTTCGAACGATGAGCGTAAAAAGCGAGCATACCAAAGGACCTTACGCTCCCTCGAGCACAGTTCTTACGGTCTGCATGATATATATCGGTACTTCCTACATATGTGTAATAGTAGGAATGCGCTGGGGAAACTTTCGCTATTACGTGTTTTTGCGTTCCACGAGCGAACGGTGGCTGTCACGCTCGGTTGAAGTTTTCAGGTGTCATCGGACCGACAGAAAAAAATGACGCAAAAAGAAAAAAAAAAAATAGACTGCCCGCGCTACTCGTCGCGCAGCGCACCGCCTATTTTACGTTTTAATCACTATACACGAGCAGATATTTATCGGACGGGAAAGGAAAGGAAATAAACGATTATCGAAAATACAACGTACCGGAGAGACGCGAGGCATTGACCACAATAGGAGCCGTGCACGAAACGCTAATTTATGCGCACTTGCATGCAAATACCATGAAGTAGTATTTGAAAAGTATAAGGAATAAAACTCATATTATCTTCACATATTAGCTTCATTCCTCAGAATTTATAATAAAGCTGAAATGAATCCTTTAGATTTTAATCGCGCGATTTTTCACAAATTGTGAAATTAAATCGAAAAATGTTACGATGCAAAAAAATAAATGACCTAATTCACACTTTAAGAATTAGAAAGAATTATTTTTAAAATGTCGAATATTTTGCCAAATATGTGTTTCTCTACCTGGAAATAATTCGCAGTAGATATCTAACAAGAGTTCTAACGCAATGTCAATAAAAAAAAAAAAGAACAAATCGCGGACCACGATTTGCTTCTGTAATTCTGATTTCCAAACCTGGGCGATATTGGGTCTGTCGCTCGTTTTTCGTTTGTTAGTGACAAAATAGAAAAACTCTCGCTCTAGTTCGTGTTTCACGAATGAACGAGAGATTTGTCGCGGTCGACTGGCGAGTGTACACATAGCACGATGTACAGCGATCGTCGGCTAGCGAGTTGTCGCGTTTTGGTGCCGACGAAGAATCAACCTCGCGAATCTACATCGCCGCTGTCGATCGTCGATGTCAGCTCTTTGACCGCGGGAAAAGCCAAAAATCGCGGAAATCCGGTGTAGCACGACACGGTGGGGCTCCTCACTGACCTTACTCAACTGCTCGGCTGTAACGCCTCCGAAATCGTTCCGTCGCGCCGGAAACCCAAGGCCTCTCGCGTTGCACACCGAGGACACTTCACGCGACACTCTCTTCTCAACTGTCCGGCTCGTTCTTGAGAAATAAAGGAAGCGAGCGAACGTCCGTGAATGACGGCGAATGAAATCTCTTCTGGGATTCCTTCAAATATTACTCTCTTTCTTTTTCTTCTCTCTCTCTCTCTCTCTCTCTCTCCCTCTCTATCCTTCGCTGTCCGCCGGTGGGCACGGCGCGAAACTTTCGCCCAGTTTCGCGTTTCACGTTTCACGAGTGATTGGCATTGGCCACGGCCGATCGCTGATCGCTCGCGTTCGCCACTTTCGGTACACGCACCTGCATTTCCCCCTCAACGGGAGAGAACCCCGCGACCTGGAGAACCCGCCTGTCCCGTCGCGTCCGGTTTCCGCGCTCGCTGAATCGGTTTCAGGCTGGATCCGATCGGCACCGTCGCCACACGATCGTCGTGCGAGGAAGGAATGGCTAAATGCTGAACTACCTACTCTCTTAGTTTACCCCCCTTTCTCGAGCGGAGCGTGGACGTCCTTTCGCTTTCAGCGCGGCCACTGACCACCTCGCATTTACCTCGTTTGCCGTGTAGCACCGCCAAGGAACCTTACTTCCTTCACTTCGAGACCCCCTTCGACGCGCCGCTGTCCGATGGGCCGCGTCGTAACGTAGCCGACGGCGTGGCTTCAGATCCTCGGGCGATCCAAGAGGCTGAAGGTGCGTTAGGTGCGAAGGTTGCATTATTGCGACACTCGTGTCAAGTTCATGGGCCTTTCGCGTGAAAGACTGAAATTGATCAATCCTCGCGCGTTGATCTCGAGGAAATGAAGGCAAATTTCCCGATCCAAATTTCTGCACGCACACTCTTAAATCGGTTATAAAATATATTTTTCAAAGCGAGATCTTTCATAATTTATGAAAAACGGAATAGCAGATAATTATAAGGAATTTTACGATTTTAAAATGAAATATAGTAATGAAATTACTATAAATTACAATGCAAATGATAAAATGATGATAGGTTTTTTTTTATTTGCTTTTTTATTCATTTATATAACTTTTAAAGTTGCATTGCCGCTTTACTTTCAATTGAATTGTGGCGCGATGTGAAATATGAAACGATAGACGTATCTCGTAAAATATGAGAAGATCAATCAGCCAGCACAACAAGCGCAACAGCGCAATCGTGAATCCGGATAATAACACAGATTTCACCGTGACGGACCATAGAATTTATTTGCTCGCATAATGAGCTTTTCGCAAGTGATGGCAGAACAGTTTCACCATTGACATTTGCATAACATTCTCGAGCGTGCCAAAAGACAGGAAAGTCTGGCGGCACTGTCGTTAATTGTCAGTTGATAATTACCGTCTTGTCGTATTAGAAAATTGATGATAATCGGTGCCATATCGAACGAGCGATAAGCGTGAACCAGCTTACGGATTAAAATCCATTCACGCTCGCACTTGATTAAATGCAAATTTCATCG